TATAAGTCCCCGGATGCTGGCCAAGGGCCAACCTTGTAGACAGTCCTTTCCAGGCCTGCTCTATTAACTCTTTTATGCACAAAAGCCATAGAGCTAGAGCTTCGGATGAGAGATGAATGAGGTGTGGGCAGATTTACCGAGTCCTGTTGTACGGGTTCTGCCCTACCAGGAAAACTATGCCAGTTCTCAGGGCTTTTGTGCATTAATCTCCTAGGCATGAGAGGCTGTGACTAAATTCCGCAGGGATTTACCATGTAGATTCCACTGGGCTTGAGATGCCAGTTCAGGTTTCAGCTCTGCTATACATGCTGCAAACCAGAACCAAAGACCAAATGTCCTGGCCTCAGGGTGATGAGGCTGGTTTTTTTTTTTTTCCATTTCAGATACATTCCCTGTTCATCTTGTTACTACTTTTTCTCTGGAAAAGGTGCCACTCTCTCTGGACCGTATATTATGAAAAAGCCAATGTTAGAAGGAAAAAATATTTCTTAGTCAATAGTCTCTCATCTTGCCTAGGAAAAGCAAGAACACAAGGGTAGTAAAAGGGCTTAGGAAGTGAGAATTCTTAGGTTCTTTGAAGTAATTTGTCTACTCACCTGCCAGCTCCTTTGGGGCAAGTCACTTGTTTACTCTTTGCCTCTGTTTGAACCCTACTGTCAGTAAACGAAATACCCTATTGCATATTTCATAGAGACATTAGGTGGCTTTTCATTAATGAAGGTGTTTAATGTAGGGCTTTTATGGGAAAAAATGAAAGTTTTATTTGTTTGTTTGTTTTTTATTTATTTAGTCAGTTGTGTTGTTGAGACCATGTAGTGGCGACCATGTAGCTTAGCTGATGAGCAAGGGTCTGGGGCTGTTGAAGTCGGGGCTGGAGGTCAGTAGGAAGTGTCAGCCCATTCGATGGTCACTGGTAATCCTAGCCTAATGAGTGGTTCTTGAAAATGGACATCATTGTCCAGGCATGAGTGGTTGGAACCGAATGAGGTCATCATTGCTCTGGGAAAAAACAGCTTTAAAGGCATGTTAACTATGGGTCTTTTAAAATGATTGTCATTTGGTTAAGGAGATTTGCTGGACATGAGAATAATCTGACAGTAGCATCCCCAACTCCTTTTTTTCTATGACCCATATCCCTGAAATGCTGGTTAGCTTCTTTCCAATAAGATTGTGGTCAAAGTAGGATGTTAGGGAATGCTGATCTTAGCAAAAGCCTAGTTAAAAAATCGTGGCTTGGCACCAAAAAAAAAGGAAGAAAAAAGCTGTCTCTTGAATTTTGGCATAGTGCAACCTGTCCCATACCAGACGAATGAACAGACTTAATCTGGTATCAGTTCTTTTCTCCTTATGCCTCAGAAGCAAAGGGATTGCAGACCTTGCTCTTTTAGGGGAATGTACTTAGATTTCTTGAATTTCAAGAAACCTAACTAATGATAAGGGAAGGAGAATCCCTCATTTTAGCTTTTTCTTGATGTTGTAGCTGATAACTCCAAAGGCAACTTGCTGAGACAAAACTGTGAAATGAAGGTGACTCAGCAGTTAAGATGCTGAGTTTGTCCATGACAGGTACCAAAGGGCTAATTAACATGTGGTATGGTCAGACACATGAAGTACTCATTTGCATTCAGATTACTATGTAATAATTATTAACACTGCTCAAGAAGAATTTATATTTCAATAAGATTTATACTAAATTTTATAAAAATAAACAACTTTTTATCAATCCAGAGTCTGGCTTTATGTCTTTCTTGTGGTTCTGCCAAGAAGCTTAAAAAAAAAAAAAAGGCTTCAGCCTGAAGAAAGGTTGAACCATATTTATACTTACTGGTAAAATACTTCTTAGCTGCTCTTATCCACCATTCTTAATACTGTTTATTTTTTGAGGCAACAATCTACATACAGAAAGCAGCTTGCCAAAAGGAGGAGGAAGAACTTAATTTCTTACTTTGCCACCTGTTTTAGTTGTTCAGTCACTCAGTCGTGTCTGACTCTTTGCAACCCCATGAACTGCAGTATGCCAGGCTTCCTTGTCCTTCACCATCTCCCGGAGCTTGCTCAAACTCATGTCCATTGAGTCGGTGATGCCATCCAACCATCTTGTCCTCTATTGTCCCCTTCTCCTCCTGCCTTCAATCCTCAAAAGCATCAGTGTCTTTTCCAATGAGGCAGTCCTTCAAAGCAGGGGGCCAAAGGATTGGAGCTTCAGCTTCAGCATCAGTCCTTCCAATGAATATTCAGGGTTGATTTCCTTTATGATTGACTGGTTTGATCTCCTTGCAGTCCAAGGGACTCTCAAGAATCTTCTCCAATACCACAGTTCAAAAGCATCAAATCTTTGGTGCTTAGCCTTCTTTATGTTAGGCCTATTTGAGTAGTTGCCTTGAAAATGATGATGTCCAGTTGGGTCCATGAAGACAGGGCCTTCTGCTCTCTTCAGACTCTGCTTCCAAAGACTGGAGCAGTGTTAGACACACAGTAGGTGCTCATTGTGTGCTCATGTGCTCAGTCATGTCTGAGTCTTTGCAGCCCCAGGGATTGTAGGCCACCACACTCCTCTGTCCACTGGATTACCCAGGTAAGAATACTGGAGTGGAGTGCCATTTCCTCCTCTAGGGGGATCTTCCCAACCCAGGGATCAAACCCAAGTTTCTTACATCTCCTGCATTGGCAGGCAGTACTTTACCACTAGAGCCACTTGGAAAGCCAGGTGCTCAATAAGCAGCTTGAAAGAATGGATGAGGGCCTGGATAACCCCCCCATTGGAAAACCTCAAAGAGCATGCATAGTGGATAGGTGTCATCAATGTCATTTTTCTAGGTAAAGGACTAATGTCCCTGGGGAGTGTGTTCTGCCTAAATTGGTGTGACTATTGTGAAGGTATTCTATACACAGACTCTAGAATAGTCTAGAGCTACCAACAGCTGTAAAGAGGCTTTTGGGGACTTTTTTTTCTTTTTTTTTACCATGAGAGCTTTGTGTGTGAATATAGAGGTTTTCATTATTTTAAAAAAAATAGCTCTGGAGTGAATAACCACTGGCTTAATTAAATCCTTTGCTTACCATCTTCCGAAGCTTTCCCACAGCAAATGGCCTCTTTGCTCACAGCTAGAACTTTGGGTCTGTTTAAGTTTGGAAAGATCTTGAAAGCAGCCTGCCAAGAGGTTTTGTATGCAAGGAAGAGAAGGTGAATTAGGAAACTTTCCCAGTTTGTTTTATTCCTGAAGCTTGTGGAGTGAGGCATTCTTGAAGGGAAGAAGGAAACTCATTTTTAAAATGCATGATTTGATGAGTCATTGGGTCCAATTAATTTGATACCCACGCTGTGAAATTGCTGGAGTAGGGCAGAAAAGATATGTAGTACGTCTGAAAGTTTGTGGATAAGGTTTGAATTTTGGTCGTTGTATACAGACTGATGAAGCTCTTTCCAGTTATCTGTGGAAAATTCGCAATTTAATTAAGAGTTTTCAGGACAGAATTATCATGCTAGGGTACACCAGCAGGTGGCAATGTGTCCTGGTCTGATCATTAGGAAAGTGGCTTGGAACCCTATTCTGCTTCCATTCTTTCCCAAAATAAACATTACAAAATTAGTTGGCTGTGCCCTGGACTTTAAAAAAAAAAAAAAAAATCGAGCAATAAAGAGTCATCTTTGGCCTCTGTTTATCTTTTTTTTTTTTTTTTTAACCCAGTTCTAACGTCAGCCTTAGCTCATGCATCTATTCAGGGATAATGATCCTTTCATGCACTGTTGCGGACTGACTTTGAGAAACAGCATTGTTAATAGGTAATTGTTTCCTTTCTCCACATGCAGTGTTTATTAGATTTGCTTTGCCACTTGATTTCCACAAAACGGTTAAAGACCCGTATCCACCAATACAGGTTTGAACCCGAAAGTCTGAAAATGGTTGTATGAAGAGACAGCTACTTCAGATGTTTGCAGGCGGAATGGAAGAAATATATTGTACATAGTACTTGAATCGCTACAATCCTGAGTTACGCAACCATAAAATTGGATGGGTGTCTAAACCTACTACCCAGTAGGAAAAAAAAACATATATATATATTTGGGAACTCTTCAAAGAGAACTGTAATGTAACAGGATAAATAAACTGCCCCCCCTCCCCCGCTCCCATTTCTTTCCACAGCAAGCTTGTTAAGCCGCTGTGGAAAGCACCATGCTTGCTCAATCTGGCAAATAACACATATCATTTTGCCAAGGCAGAAGCAGCCTAAAAGCAACATTATACGAAGAAATCCTGGCTCCAATTCCCAAACTCTGTCTCCCCATTCCTATACACTTTCATCCTCCAACCCTCCGCCGGCAGCCAAGCCTTTTTTGCGTGGCAGCCCCTGCCCTGGGCCGAGGCCAGCAGGTGCCCCAGGTGAGCGGCCAAGGCCAAAACCTCTCTCTGCTGGGGTCTGATTCACGAGAGAGCAAGCGGGGTCCGGGCAGCCAGACCTGAGTTTGCTTCCATTCGCCAAAAACAGTCTCTGTGTGTTATCAGAAAAGGAGAACAAGTATGCTCCCTTAAGGAATACAAGTTTCTAGGACAAGGTGGTGAGTAATTCCCAGAGCCTCTCTCATCCTCAGCTCCTCGGGACTGGGGGCGTGCTCTCTGGGGGAAAGCCGAGTTAGTGCGAGCTAGACCCCAAAGTAGCAACCTCCGGCATTCGTGGGTTCCCTGGGACAACCTTAGGTTGGCGCGTGGGACTCTCAGGGTCGCACGGTGCCCACCTCTTTCTGCCCCCGCAGAACTACTTTTTCGCTCCCCCCCCCAACAAGACTCCGGCGGAGGCGTCCGCGCGGGGTCGGCGCGCACCCTCGGTGGGTGAGCGGCGGCGGCGCGTGAGCCGAGGCGGCGCGCGGGGTGGCGAGAGCGGGGGACTGGGGCCGCCCCGTGCACCGCGGAGGGATCCCGGGTGAGGCGGCTTCCCGAAGTCAGAGGGGAGGAGGCCAAAAAAAGTCGGCGGGGGAGGGGAAGGGCGAGCGCTCGCGCTGGATGCGGCAGGGGCCGGGAAGGCAGAACCGGAACCGGAACCCGAGCGCGCGCCCGCGGTTGTCGCGCGGCGCCCGCCCCCCCCACACCGCCGGCGGCCTCCTCCGCCCGCCGCGCGCGCGCTCCCGCGAGAGCCTCAGGACCGGGCGAGCCGGCCCTGCGTTCCGAGTCGCCGCGGTCGCCACCGGCTTCCCGGGCCGGTGCTTCCAGGCCGGGTCGGACGGGAACCTCCCGCCCCTCGCGGGAACCACCGCCTACCGGCGCGTCGGGGAGGAGCCACCGCCGCCACCGCCTTCGCCGACCGCGGAAGAGCCCGGGCCTCCGAGGGATGGGGAGCAGCCCGCGGGGCTGAGAGACCAGGTTCCTGTCACCTCCGGCTGCGGGACCTCCTCCCCCGGCGCTCGTGCTCGTCCCGGCGCCCGGAGCTTGGTGGGGGGCGGCGAGGACGACGAGAGGGGTCCCCCGGCCCGGGGCCATGGAGCCGCGCGCGGCTGACGCGGGGCGGCCCGAGACGCGGCCGAGACCGCGGCTACGAGCGGCCGGCTGCCACAGATAGAAAGCAGAAGCCAGCGGCCCCCTGCTCGGCGGCGGGGATTTGCAGGCCCCGGAGACCCCGACGAGGAGCCCATCCTGCCCCAGACCCGGAGGGACTCCTGAGGTTCCTTCCCTGCGCGGCTCGCCGACTTCCCTCCGTGACGAAGTTTTCTCCGGCGCTTTCCCAAGGATCGCTCCCTAGCTTTAGAACTCGCTTTCTGGCGGACTTGCTCGGTTTGTTTTGGGAGATAACTTGCTTCGCTCCCACCCACATCCCCTTTCCTTGACCCCTGCCAGTCGGACCTTCTAGATGACTGAATGGAGTTTTGAGTTGGACTCTGGTGTCCCCTACGGAGTCGGGCCTGATCCCGGAGCGCTGGGGGTGGGGTGGAGGTGTTACAGTAAAATGCAAGTTGGATAAAAGGAGGACCTCTCGCCAAGGGCCCCAATGAGTGGCACACAGTCTACTATCACCGACAGGTTGGTATGAAGCCCCCTCCCCCCGCCCTGCGCTTAGCCTCCCTGGATGGGGCCCCACCTAGCAGGAGAGTCAGGATTGACGATTGCCTTTGCCCAGTGAAGTTGACAGGCATCCGACGGAGGGTTGTTTCCGAGCTCTGCAGTTAGTCTGGGGTGGTTGCCAAGTTACTCGGTTGATTGAATTTGGAAATGTATTTTTTTTTTTCTGGAGAGAAACTTTTCCAGAGTGTTGGAGGAGGAGTAGGTAAAGCCACGATTGTGTTTTTCTGTCCGTAGTGGGCATTAGGATTCAGTACTGATTTTGGAAGCAGAGGAAGGTCATTTTGGGTGAAGGTCAGCGCCGGAGGTCTGCTGGGGTATTGGTCCCTCATAAGTTTAACTCCTGTCCCGTAGTTCCCTAGACTCTGTTGGATTTTAGGACTTTCTGTTTGTGAACTTCATTCTGAGACTACCTCATGATGATTTATGAAATTGATATCCTTGAAACATTGACTTGGACAGTGTTTATTGTCTAATAGTTTTCCAGAATGTTGGAATTACCAGTAAGTCCCAGTCTCCTGGTGGGGACAATACCAAGGAACTAAGCGAACAAACAAACAAAAAACGGCAGGGGAACATCATGGGGCTTGATTTTAATTATTGCACTTTTAGGATTTCATTTACCAGAAACGTTTGCATTTAAGGGGTGTAGCGCCTAAGCGAATTATGTAGTAGAATCTGGCAGGTGGATTTGTTGAGTTGGGTAAGTCTTTTCCTGTACTTACCTATTTTTCTTGGTGAATTGAGCTAGACCATTTGTGGTTTAAGTGAGCTTCCTTACTCTTTAGAGTTATTCTTTGCAATATTTAAGTGAGAAAACATATTCTTTACTACATGGTATTTTTAAATGTAACTAACTTTGTATTCAAGTCCCAAGTTTCAGTTGTGGGGTTTTTTTTTTTTTTTTGGTCAGCCTTCAAACCATTACATCATTAAAAAAAAAAAAGATTAACTGAAGTTAGGGAGCAAAGAAAGCATTTTGAGAAGTGCTTCTGCAAAAAGTAGTTGACTTCCCTAATAAGAGTTTCACCCAATTGTAAGACTGATTTGTTGATTTTAAAAGGGCCAAATTCCATTATCTTACCCTAACAGCTACTCCAGAAACAGAATTTCCTGTTCCTGTTGATGCTTCCCAGTATCACGTGAATGTTCACCTAAAAGATTCTATTAAATATTTAAACTACTTATTATTTGTTTGTGTATTTTTTTTAATGCATTTAATTTTCAACTTCTCCGAGAGTACATTTAACATTATTAACAATGCTTATTTTGATTTTTTCTGGTTATTCCCATTCCTTTTCCTTTCAGTGTGTTTTGCCTCTGAGAAGCCACTTTCATGGGTGTGTGGGTACTTGTTTCCCTGGTTCTCTCAATTCTTGCCTTCTCTGTTGACCCTGGAGACAAGTCTTATTAGGAACTAATATGTTGGTAGTTTTCATTGCAATAATAAGGGTGTTTAATTCTGTAGAAACAGAACCTTGGATCACCAGCTCATTCCACATGAAAATCACCTAAAGGCCCCTAAGTAATGATATTTCCTTCTTTGCTTCTCAGAGATTTCCATTATGTTGGAAAGAAAACCTTGGGATTTGTGTTGCTTTTTATAACTTAGATGAGATATGTAAGCATGCAGTTAATGCCTGTTTTTTGCCAGGCACTGTGCGGGGCACAGAGGATTAAGAGATGAATATTCTGAGATGAATCTGCAAATTGGTTTGGGTTTAGTATCTACTTGAATTAGTTCAGGTACTGCCTAATTTCACATACCTTTTAAAAGACGAAAGACTTTAAAAGCCACTTACTGTGCCTTGGTGAGACAATTATGGATTCATATTTCTTAGGAATTTACTACTAGTTTCTTTTTTTCCACCACAAGATTTATTCTTATGTGACCATTACTTTTTCTTTGAACATATCTTGCCCCATAAATCTCAAACATCCATTGACTCTTAGAGTTGTCTCTGATTTGAATATATGTCGGGGTGAAATCTAGAAGTACTGGTTGAGTGTTACTTCTTTGCCAGGCTGCCTTAATAAAGTTATGAGTATAGAACAGTTCCCATCTTCTCAGCCTACCTACCTCAGCCTCTTTTCTCATGGCCTAACTGCATTGCACTCTAGGTACATTTTGCTGATTCTAGAGCTGTTGGCAAATTAACAGTGCCTTTTTAAAGATCCTTTCAAGTTTGAAGTACTGTATGTGGTATGGCTTTGTTCTGTAGAGTGTGCAGACCCACCAGGCCAGCTGTGTGAGTTAAGAGTTCTTTCATTGTGGTGTTTCTGACTACAGAGTCTGTCTGTCCTCAGTTGAAATCAGACTAGCTGGTTTTGGGCGTTGTTCTGTTTTGCAGTTTGTGGCAGGCGACACATGGCTGAACAAGATAAGAAGGGTTTTATTCTTGTGTTAGGGACGTGCTGGGGCTGGGATGGAATTCAGCTATGTTTGGGCTCTGAATGGTCACTTTGGAGACTCAGAATTCTGTTATATCCTGTTATTATTTTGCAGTTAAATTAACACATTCATTTACTCCCCTTTTCATTCTCTACTCTTCAGGCACTCCAGCCCCCTTTTTAAAAGTGTAGTTATCAACTTAAAACTCAGACTGTATGTTCTTGGTAGCTATTGTTTTTATGTAGTATATTTGAATTGTTAAAAAAATCTAAACTTATGAATACCATTCAGTGTCTTGCTTTGTAACTTCTATGAGACCTGAAGATTATATTTTTCAGCTTTTAGAACCAGCACTTGAAAAGTGGTAGAAATATCTGATTGCTGTTCTCCAGTTTGCATTGATTACTGCCCTTAGTCCCAAAATAATCCTAATTGTTTCTAATCCTCCTGGATGCTTGTCCTCTCCCTAAGAGTTTAGGGGTCCTGTGGCAGTTGGAATTTCTTTTGAGAGATAAGAGAATGCTTTTTCAGTGGACTGAGTAAATTGTTTCAGGCTGTATTCTAGAACAGTGAATTTTCAGGGACAATACAGATAGGATTTTTGCTATAAAGGTCTTTGTTGAAAAGAACCTATGTCCTGTCTAGGACTCATAGATTTTGTTGGTTTTGATTTATAGATAAAAGGTTTTTAATATATTGACTTTTTTTTTTTTAAAGCACTGTAAGTTCAACTTTAAGCTTGTTTAACTGAAGCAAGTCTTTTTGTTCTTTGTTTTTATTTTTATTTTTTTAAAGAAGCAGCTTTTTAAAGTGAGTCTGGAAACCAGAGGCGTTTTATGCTTATCCAGTAATTAATGTTTTCATTCATGATACTTTTTCTGCCAACAGTGCCATATAATAATGCTTTTGATTAAAATACAAAACAAATTCTGTATGTGCGCTGTTTTCAAGGCTGCCTGAGTCATCTGCAAGGTGAAATTATTTGTAGCATTCATTTGTAAAATCAGTCATTTGATAAATACTGAATTGAAAGTGGGGCCAGGATCACAGTGCTAGCTTTGTATTCACTTTAATGTTGTCTTTTCTTCTAGTTTTTCAGTTTAAAATCCTGATTCACACAGGTATGCAGTAGTACATTTGCTTGTACAGTTTTACATGAGTCAACATGTACAGTCCAAAGTAAATTTTTTTTAAAGTACAGAGCTATAGTCTTCTAGATTAACAGCACATTTATAAGATGTTCATGTGTATTTGGTGAGATGATGAGAGAAGCTTTATTTGAATCATAATAAAAATATGTTAACCTGGTAATACCACTTAATACACTGGTGGTTTCATGAATTGAGTATGAATTGCCTACTTAACTGATATGGATTGTAGAAGCAGCAGGATATTTTAATGGTTTTCCAATGGTAATTGGAGAAGTGCTTTTACATCATGGTTGTCTAACAAAGTTACTAGAAATGCTACTTGTCATTTAATTGCTTATCTCCTAGGGATTGACCATGCCACATTTTCAGAAACAAGGAGCATAATTAACTTCGTTAAGTTTCATCCATTAAAACGTGGTACTGATGATGTTTTAAAACTTCATTGGAAGGCATGGTCTTTTTCCTTTCAGTAGTTAAGAATCTTCAGAATAATGGCATTTGAACTGAAAATTTAAAATCAGCAAAATTATAAATGTTGTTTCTTCTTGAAGAAGATACCCTGATACATGTAATGATATCCTGTGGCAGTGTACCTCTTTAACATTTACAGTGTCTTCAATTCAATGTGAGGCAGATCATCATTTACACTTAGGGCAACTCAGAGCATTTAAGATTATAAAACTGAAAAGGACAGAGTCAAGATATGACCTAGATTTTCTGGCTTTCAAGTCCTCCAGATTTCACTCTAAATTATTGTCTTTTCCGTGTATATTTTTTCTATCCTGCTTCCCTTGTAACTTTCCAAGCTAAGTCAGGGTTGAATTTTTCTCTTACCGGATGCTTTCTAGTACCTTATCCATTCTAATTTTAAGTATCTCTAGAGGATAAAGCTCTCGTCACTTCCTCAGGAGACTGAACAACAATCTGATAGATCTTCTAGTCAGGAAGTTTTTCCTGATCTTTAGCACAGACTTTTCTTTTAAGTTGTCCTGTTACTTGTATACACTTGCTGTACTAGGCTAAATAATAATCTCCTCCCATTTTATGTTTATGTGACTGTAAATGGTTCAGACAGTTGTCCACCACCCTTTCCTTCCCCCCACCCTTATTCTTTGCTGAGCCAAGTTGTATATTCTGTTGATTTGTGTCTAAAAGTCAGTCTGTTTCTCTTAATATTTTATTAGCTTTTCCTCAGTTGCTCATCTAGTGCAAAATGATTTTTTTCTTGCAGTGCTGTCCTACTACAAAATGATATTCTATATTTTATCTTTATCCATATTCTAGAACAAGTTCCAGTTTGGTTTTACCATAATACAGGGGTCTTCTGTTTTCTCCAGGCATAGCCCAAAATTATGAGTAAAGAAATTCTCAAGACCATTTTGACTCAGTTTTATTTTAGATAGTTTTTAGAATGGATA